TCTTAACTTCATCACCATCAGAGCGCTCTTCCTGATGGCTTGCTCATAGCGTTGGCTACGGGACAGGAAGTTCAAATCCTCATGTTGGAAGTCAGGGTCATTAATAACTAAGGCCTCTGGGGACAGAACAGGGGAGGAAAACAAACTCAGTTTCCACAAACCTCAATAGACAGTGGATGAGGAACGATTCAGCATTTCACTTGCTGTACCTCAAGGAACAGATATCAGAAAATTAAAAACAGAATTAAAAGTTAATGAAATCAGAAAGAAGTCAAAGCTCTTGGAGAGAGGGACTCTAGCAACAGGGCACTCTCCCATTCCACACATAAACCACATTTTAAGTTAGGAGCACTCTGGATTTGGCAGGTTAATTCACTGACCTAAGACCTGCAGGCTTGGCAGGAGGTTAATTCACTGACCTAAGACCTGCAGGCCCCTCAATAACAATCTCAAATCCTCAAATAGCCATTGTTACTGCCGGATCACACTGCCTCATGAACTTTGATCTCCATACAACCCCTTGCAGAAGGGCACAGCTACTATTCCCACTCTGCCGACTGGAAACCAAGGTACCCAGAGGCCACTGACTTTCTGTGTCCCCTTTGGCACACAAGTTACACAACACCATCCTCTGACAGTCCCACCCCAGTGCAGACTGGGGAAAAAAAGAGAGAATGGAGGTATTTCATTAATCTTACATATCATGGTTGGGTGAGAAACAGGTCATATTTGTACTGTTGGGCAAGAACGTACTAGGAAGGAAGAAGGAGGGGAAAGGGCCCAAGAGAAATGCCCATGGGAAGCTGCCTCTCACCCTCTGGAGGAAGGGGAAAGACAGAGGTAAAAGGACATTACTCTATCAGGGTGTCCTGGTTTCGGCTGGGATAGAGTTAATTTTCTTCCTAGTAGCTGGCACAGTGCTGTGTTTTGCATTTAGGATGAGCATAATGTTGATAACACACCGATGTTTTAGTTGTTGCTGAGCAGTGCTTACACTAGTCAAGGACTTTTCAGCTCCCCATGCTCTACCGACTGAGCAGGCTGGAGGTGCACAAGAAGCTGGGAGGGGGCACGGCCAGGACAGCTGACCCAAACTGGCCAGAGGGACATTCCATACCGTGGGACGT